AAAAGAGCAAATGAGCAATAATGATGAGCAATCATCATCATCATCATCAATCAATCAAAAATCCTCACTTCCCAAATTCCCACCACCAAATCCCGGCTCTAAATTGGCTCTCCATCAAATTCAATGCTCAATTCATACTGTAGACTCGCTTCGTTCATATTTCGAATCGTTTGGCATCGTTGAACAAATTGAAATCACTCCACGTGCCGATGGATTTGTAGTTTTTGAGGAGAAGGCGTCAGCGGATCGATGTCTGGCTCATGGAGCACAACATGATGTGCAGGACCACAAGATTTGGGTGGAGAGACAAGCCACGTTTTATTGAATAGACAGTATGTGAATTTTTTTCCTTGTTTTCAAGATATTTTACTTCAAAAGAATCTCTTTCTCTTCATTGCTCAATTTCAACGATTGGATCTTTGGGTTTTCCCAATTTTCAAAAATTTTGGATTTTTCGGATTTTTGAATTGTTCATTACTTTTTTCGCTTATTTTTTTCGCAAAAAAAAAAAAAGAAAAGTGACACAATTATTATATTTCTCCTTTAAAATTGAGCCAATTTCTAATTTTTTCTCTTTTCTTCGCGATTTTCACGCAAAAAAACCTAGAAATTCAATTAAAAAAAAATAAATGTTCTACAGTAATCCCTGAAATCGTTGCGAAAACCATTACTAATAAACTCCATGTGGCTTTAATTTTTGTGATTTTTAGCTTATTTTTTTGCCTAAAAAGTTGATTTTGACCGTTTTCAGCCAATTTTCAATCGAAAAAGTTTAATTTTTCTGCATTTTTTGTTTTTTTTCTTCAAAAATCGGCCGAAAACTAAAAAAATCACAAAAAAACCCAAATTTTCTACAGTAATCCAACGAATTTCCCTCATTTTTCATCGTTTTTTCTCGATTTTTCCAGGAAAATTCATGGAATTTTTGTTATTTTCTGATTAAAAAAGTATATCATTGTTTTATTTTTCAGAATCCGCTGGAATTCCCTTTGAAGAGACATCATTTTTTGATCTGCCCCTTTTGATCTACATTCCTGGCGTTTTTTTCAGCGAAAAGATCATCGGAACAGCCTGCAAGTCATCATTTGTTGTTGTTATTCTGTTCAATTTTCATTTATTCCTCTATTTTTTGAATTCCTTTCGTCTCTTTTTTCAAAATTTCACCCAATTTCTTTCTCCATTTTTTTATTATTTTTGGTCTAAAATTTGATAAAATATCATTATAATTCCTTATCACCATGTTTTTTGTCATATTCCCCTTCTTTTCCATCCATTTTCATACATTTTCCACCGTTGATTCAACCCTCAAAACCAATAAAAAATTCCCAGTACGACACTCCGCTATCCCGCCGGGTGCGCCTTGTTTAGCGCCCCGTAAATCCACACCGAAGAGAGCCTATGTTTCCTCATTTTTACCCATTTTTCTAGATTTGTACGTTGTTTTTTGGGGTTTTGGCGCGTTTTTCATCATTTTTAACGAAAAAATCCACTATTTCAAGGTTAGAACCGGAGCCGGCAACACAACCCACACTGGCGAGGTGCACTCGATTCCGATCTCAGCGCATTTTTCGGCAAAAATCTTGATTTTTGGAAATTTTTCAGCTGAAAATGACCTGAAATCGGCGAAAAATCGCTAAAAATCGACTAAAAATGACCTAAAACCCGAAAAAAGCGCAAAAAAATCAAATTTCCTACAGTAATCTCCAAAATCGTTGCGTGACCCGGCGCCAATAAACTCGATGCGCCTTTAATATTTTTCTGATTTTTACCTATTTTTGACCTAAAAAGTTGATTTTTAAGGTTTTTAGCCAATTTTTCGGCAAAAATATGGATTTTTTGTGCATTTTTTCAGCTGAAAATGAGTCAAAATCAGCAGAGAATGGCCTGAAATTGACCGAAAATGCCCCAAAAACCGAAAAATCAAACTTCCTACAGTAATCTCTGAAATCGTTGCGAGACCGATTGATAATAAACTCCATGCGTCTTTAATTCCGATTTTTCAACTCAATTTCGGCCTTAAAAGTTGATTTTTAGCTCATTTTTCGTCGAAAAAGTTGATTTTTGAGCGTTGTGTAAAACATCATTTTTCGCCCTTTTCAGCCGATTTTTCGTCGAAAAACTTCCATTTTTTCGCAGATCTATGCGACTGAGGTGATCAACGCGTCGGATGCGGACCTTCCGAAAGTGATTCGCGACTTTGAGAAGAATTTCCAGCGAAGTTCACAGTCGAAAATCGCCCGCGGCTTGATTCACAATGCGAAAGTCGTCTGTGGCATCGATACGAGGGTTTCGGGTGAGTTTTTGTTTATTTTAAGGTTGAAATTCATGGAATTTGTGCCGAAAATCGAGAAAAATTGACCCAAAATGAGCATTTTCAACCAAAAAAATTCGAAAATTTCGATGAAAATTAAGAAAAAAAATGGCCAAGAAAACTCGGAAAAGTTAGGCCATGAGCATTTTTCGGTCATTTTGAGCGAAGTTTTCCATTAAAAATGACTTAAATTTCGCAAAAAATGTCTTGGTGGCCTACAATATCCTAATCTCGGCCATGGGTATTTTTAGCTCATTGTAGCCCTTTTTGAGCTCAAATGGCTCAGAATTTTAGCTTAAATGAGCTCATTGGTGACGATTTTTTGGCTAAAACTAGTTTTAAAATGCTTCCTAAAGCTCCGCCCACTTTCCTGGGCAGCTTACCAAAGTGGGCGTGGCTTAAGTTCCTAGAGTCACATCCACTTTTGAAAGTAGGCCGCCTACTGTAGGCGTGGTTTAGGTTTCCTGAAGCTCCGCCCACTTTCCTGGATTTCTAAACAAAGTGGGCGTGGCTTATGTTCCTCAAGCTCCGCCCACTTCTTGCCAAGTGGGCTTGGCTTTGGAATATTTTGGACGCACTCTGTGTGTCCGAATGTCTGGATGTCCGTAATTTTCTCAAAAAATCAAATAAAATACTGGATTTTCAGACTGAAAATTTTCTCAAAACATCAAATTTTGTCTTCCAGGTCTACCGCGCCGCGGGACCACACAAGATTTCCCCTTCGAATTGTCTTCCTTACTCTACGCGAACACTACAGCTGTCGTTTAGACTCCCCACTTTTTTTCCCTTCTTCTGGAAAATCAGAAATTTTTATACGGGAATTTTCGAATTTTCCAGAGCCTTTGAGGCTATTTTCAGCTCGAAATCTCTTGATTTCTCTGATTTTCAGCGAAAAAATCTTAAAATTTCATGATTTTCAGACAAAAATTCCCTTTTTTTTTGTTGCTTTTTTTCCAATTTTTATCTCATTTTCTAACTGAAATTACCTCATTTTTCACCATTTTCATGTCAAATATTTTGTTTTTTTTCCCCTTATTTTCCAATTATGATTCTCATTTTACCTCGATTATCTCAATTTTTTTTCATATTGATCTCGAAATTTCATTGTTCAGCCTTAAATATCCATATCTAATTTCTGTGAATCGATTAAAAATACAGTATCTTATTCTTTTTTTTTTTTAGTTTTCGAAATCTTTTTGGGTTTAAAAAACCCTAGATTTATCTATTTTTTGAGCTCAAACGTGCATTTTCAGTCAAAAAAAAATTGAAGTTTTCAGATTTTGAAAAGGTTCTTTTGGCTTTAAAAAATCCGCTTTTTTTCAACGATTTTTTTCGGCCAAATTCCAGCCAAAACAAAAAATAAAACTATCTGAAATTTCTTTGGAAAACTGCTATTTTTAAGCCAAATTTCAGGCAAAAAAAGAAATGAAATTTTGAATTTTATTAAAAAAAAAAAAAATTGTTTCTGGCCAAAAAATCCGCAGCTTTTTTCAGCGATTTTTGTACAAAATTTCAGCTATTTGACCTCTCTTCCCGGCGTTTTTTTCTGAAACATGGCTATAAAAACACACTGAAAATGTATCTATCATTGCTATTTCGTTTGTTTGAAATTCTTCCTCACTTTACGGCTTTTATCAATTTTTCACCTCGAAAAATCAACAAAAAAAATCCCATTGCGACACTCCGCTATCCCGCTAGCGCGCCTAGTTTAGCGCCCCGTAAATCGACATGAGAGACATGAAAAAAAAGCCCCAAATTATTCCTCATTTTCACCCGTTTTTCTCCATTTTTCTCGACTTTTCCTGCATTTTTCAGCTTTTTTAACAAAAAAATCTTAGTTTTTCAGGTTAGAACCATGGCGAATCTCGAATTTCCACCCCAATACACCCGAGCCGGCAACACAACCCACACTGGCGAGGTGCACTCGATTCCGCAAGACGAGCAGTTTGCATATGGTACGGAAGACGGAGAAGAAGCTGAAATTTATACTTTTTAAAGGAAAAAATTCGAATTTTTGAAAAAAAAATTGTTTTTTGAATTTTTGAAAATTTCCAGGAACCGCCGGATTTCGCTTCCGTGCCGAAAAACTGCCGTTCATCGTGTACCGATGCGCGTATTTGGCCAGTTTGCGTGCTCGTCAACTCGACTCGGCCATCGGTGTCATGATTACCGCGTCGCACAACCCGGCACAGGATAATGGGGTGAAATTGGTGGATCCCAGTGGAGATATGCTCAGTTCGCAGTGGGAGGTGCGGAAAATTCCTCGAAAAAATGAGCTGAAATCACTGAAAATCGACCGAAAATGAGCCAAAATTGCTGAAAATCGACGAAAAATAGCTCAAAATCACTGAAAATCGACTAAAATCGACTAAAATCGGCTTAAAATTGACCCAAAAGAACCAAAAATTAGCTAAAAATCGAATTTCCTACAGTAATCCTTGAAATCGTTGCGAGACCCAACTCCAATAAACTCGATGCGCCTTTAACTTCCAATTATTTTTTTGCGATTTTTAACTCATTTTCGGCCTAAAAAGTTGATTTTTAGCTCATTTTTGGTCGAAATTGTCGATTTTTAGCTCATTTTTCGTCGAAAAAGTTGATTTTTGAGCGTTTTACACTCATTTTTCGCCCTTTTCAGCCGATTTTTCGTCGAAAAACTTTCATTTTTCACAGATCTATGCGACTGAGGTGATCAACGCGTCGGATGCGGACCTTACGAAAGTGATTCGCGACTTTGAGAAGAATTTCCAGCGAAGTTCACAGTCGAAAATCGCCCGCGGCTTGATTCACAATGCGAAAGTCGTCTGTGGCATCGATACGAGGGTTTCGGGTGAGTTTTTGTTTATTTTAAGGTTGAAATTCATGGAATTTGTGCCGAAAATCGAGAAAAATTGACCCAAAATGAGCATTTTCAACCAAAAAAATTCGAAAATTTCGATGAAAATTAAGAAAAAAAATGGCCAAGAAAACTCGGAAAAGTTAGGCCATGAGCATTTTTCGGTCATTTTGAGCGAAGTTTTCCATTAAAAATGACTCAAATTTCGCAAAAAAAATGTCTTGGTGGCCTAGAATATCCTAAATCTCGGCCATGGGTATTTTTAGCTCATTGTAGCCCTTTTTGAGCTCAAAATGGCTCATTTTCGCCATTTCTAGCGCTAAAAACCTCGAAATCCGTTATTAATGGCATGGTGGCCTAGAAAACCAAAAAACTCGGCCAGGAGTCATTTTGCGGTCGTTTTAACTCATTTTAGACGATTTTTGGCTCAAATTCACCCATTTTGTTCAAATTCCCCGATTTTTTTTGACTTAAAACCCCTCATTCTTCCAGGACCGCACCTAATGGAAGCCGCCCGTGCCGGCGCCGCCCTCTTCAACGTCAAATTTGTGGATATCGGCGTTGTGAGCACTCCGATGCTCCACTATTCGGTGAAATCGTTCAACGAGCCCGAATTCGCCGACCCAACGCATCAGGGATATTATGACGCGATCAGTGGCGCTTTCAAAAAGTTGTACGAGATGACACAGGAGCCAGATGGGTCTAGGTACGGTAATTTTGAGGAAATTCGACTCAAAATAGGCAAAAATGGCGGAAAATCGACTTAGAATTCATAAAAAATGGCCGAAAATGACCCAAGAAACATCAAGAAATAAGCCACGCCCACTTTTTCAATCTCAAAAATTCGAATTTTGAAAAATAAATCAAAGTGGGCGTGTCATTCCTCAAGCTCCGCCCACTTTTTTCCCACTCAAAATCATGTCTTTTAGTGGTTTTAGGCCGCAAATATCGAAATTTTGCGTCAAATTGAGCCATTTTGTGCTCAACATGGGCTGAAAATGAGCTGAAATGACCCATGGCCTAGTTTCAGCGTTTCCTAGGCCACCAAGTGTCAATTCTAGCGAATATTGTTTCACCGTTCAAAATTGTCTAAAATGACGGATTTCGTGCCGAAAATGAGCCGAAAACCCCTGTGGCCTAACTTTTTGAAGAGTCTTCTAGGCCGAAGAATTTAGGTAATTTGAGCAAAAAAAAAGCGCAGAAAATGATTGAAAAACGCCTAAGAACACTCAGGTGGCCGAGTTTTCCGATTATTTTATTTTCTAGGCCACCATGCTTCTATTTTTCGCAAAATTCGAGAATCGAGGCCTAGAAAACTGGAAAACTCGGCCACTTCTAAGTGCTTTTTTGGCTCAAATTACTCAAAAATTAACCTGAAAAACTCAAATTTCTAGAATCAGTGGCCTAGAAACCTCAAAAAGTTAGGCCATGATGATTATTAGCGTTTTTCCGACCGAAAGTGACCTCGTGGCCTAGAAAATCCGAAAACTCGTCCACGGGTTGTTCTTTATGGTTTCTGGCTCATTTTTGACGATTATTCTTTCCGGTGGCCTAGAAAACGCCGGAACTCGGCCATGGGTCGTTTTGGGTCATTTTCAGCTCAAAATAGCTCATTTTTAATGATTTTTTAATAGTTTTAAAGGCTAAAATTGCCTATTTTCTTGCCGAAAACGATCAAATTCCCCAATTTTTGCAGATATCAACCCGAACTGATCGTCGACTGTGCGAATGGAGTGGGTGCGCCTCGTTTCCGCGAACTCCTGAAACAAATTCCGAAAGAGATGCTCTCCATCGAGTTGCGCAACGAGAATGGCGAGCTGAATCACGGGTGTGGTGCGGATTTTGTGAAAATCGCCCAGAAGATGCCGGCCAACTTCATTTTGACGCCAGATGCGGCTCCGGAGCCGAAGTGCGCCTCGTTCGACGGTGATGCCGATCGAATTTTGTATTTCCGAGCGAAGAATGGATGTCAGGTGAGCTTTTTCGGCTTAAAAATGCTAAAAATTACGAAATTTGAGCCAAAAAGGCAATTTTCGTCAAAATTGAGTTCATTTTGGCTGAAAATAAGCTAAAAATGAGCTAGAATAACTCATGGCTGAGTTCCAGCGTTTTCTAGGCCACCAGATAGAAAAATCGTCGAAAATGACCCATGGCCGATTTTTCTGATTTTCTAGGCCACCATGCCTTTTTTTGTGTTTTTTCGCAGGAAAAATTGATGAAGATTCGCTTAAATTACCCAAAAATGTCCCTAAAGCCAGCGAAAATCCCCTATGGCCTAACTTTTTGCGATTTCTAGGCCACTAGTTCAAGAAATTCGAGGTTTTCCAGTGGAATTTGTGTAATTTAACCCAAGAAACCATACGAAAACGATTAAAAACGCCTAGAAACCGAGTTTTCCAATTTCCTAGGCCACCTAGTTGTAAGTTTCAGAACGATGGCCTAGAAAACTCTTCAAAAAGTTAGGCCATCGGTGTTTTTTGACTCATTTGCGGGTCAATTTGAGTGATTTACAATTTTTCGCCAGTTCTTGGCGTTTTCAGTACATTTTCATTCTAAAAATACCCAACTTTGCCTAAAAAATGATGATCTGCGGTGGCCTAGAAAATCAGAAATCTCGGCCATGAGCAATTTTAGCTTCTTTTCCATAGATTTTGGGTCATTTTTGTCTATTTTTATCGCTAAAAACCGCTGTTTTCATTAAAAATGGCGTGGTGGCCTCGAAAATCAGAAAAAGCTAGGCCATCGGGTGCTTTTTCCAGCATTTTCAGTCATTTTGAGCGAATTTTGACCATTTTCGGGCGTTTTCAGTACATTTTCAGACTAAAAAATCCCCGCAAAAAATGATATGATGGTCTAGGAAACGCTAAAACTCGGCCATGACTCATTTCAGCTTATTATAGCCCATTTTAGTCTAAAATGGCTCTTTTCGGCTCGATTTTCATCCAATTTTGGCTCATTTTCAGTCAAAAATTGCTGTTTTTCCAATGTTTCACCTTAAACTCGGCCAAAACGGCTATGTTCGATTTGGTGGCCTAGAAAGCTCAGAAACCTCGGCCATGGGTAATTCTAGCCCATTTACAGCTGAAATGGGCTCGTTTTTCGACGATTTTTAGCTCTAGAAAAATCTTGAAATTTTCTAATTATGGTCTGGTGGCCTAGAAAACCAAAAAACTCGGCCAGGAGTCATTTCGGGTCATTGCTAGTCCATTTTCAGCTAGAATTAGGGCATTTTCGACAATTTCCAGTGCTAGAACCCTCTCGTGGCCTAGAAACCCCCAAAACTCGGCTATGGGTCATTTTGGCCTATTTCTAGCCCATTTTCAGCCTAGAATGGCTGATTTTTCTTCAATTTCTCAAATTTGGCTCATATTACTTATGAACTTTGCGAAAATTCTGCTAGAAAACTTAAATTTCAGTGTTTCTGCTGATTTTTGAGTTATTTTTATTAATTTTAACCATTTTTTTGGGCCAAAAAATCTTAAAAAGGTCTGGTCGCCTAGAAAACCTAAAACCTCGGCCAGCAGTCATTTTGGGTCATTTTTATCCAATTTTCAGCTAGAAATAGGTCATTTTTGACGATTTTCATCGCTCATTTTTAGCTGAAAAATTCATTTTTCAACCCTCAATTTGTTTGCAGTACGGAACAGCCGAACTCTTCGATGGTGACCGTATCGCTGTGCTCTTCGCCACGTACATCAAGGAGCAATTGGACATTTACACCGCGTCGAAACCGCGGAATTCGCTGAAAATGGGAATTGTGCAGACGGCGTACGCCAACGGCTCCTCCACCAGATTCGTCCGCGAACATCTCAAAATTGAGCCAATCATCGTGCCGACGGGCGTCAAACATTTGCACGAGGCTGCGTCGGAATTCGATATCGGAGTGTATTTTGAAGCGAACGGACACGGCACGATTGTCTTCAGCAAACACTTTGATTCCGTCGTTCGCAGGTGAGATTTTTGGGTTTTTTTGGGCTTAAAATAGGCTGAAAAAGAGCTGATTTGAGCTGAAAATCGACCAAAATTAGCTGAAAATTTGAAATTTTGTATCAGAAATTGCCGACTTTTTACTCAATTTTGCTGAAAAATCGGAAAATTTGAGCCAAATACGCTATTTTAACAAGAAAAACGAGCCATTTTGAGCTGAAAATAGGCTTAAAATGGACTTGAATTACCCATGGCTGAGTTTTCTGGTTTTCTAGGCCACCAAATCGAAAATGTCCGTTTTGTCTGAGTTTTAGGTTTTTGCATTGAAATTTGCTGAAAATAGGCTGAAAATGAGCTGAAAATTCATAGAAATTGGCCAAAAATCACCCAAAAACGTTTAAATATGGAAGAAATTAAGCCACGCCCACTTTTTTCAACTTCGAAAAATGTAAATTTTGAAAAATAAATCAAAGTGGGCGTGTCATTCCTCACAAGCCCCGCCCACTTTTTTCCACTAAAAATCATGATTTTAGTCGTTTTAAGCGGAAAAATATCCGGAATTTTGGAAGGAATGGAAGGAAAAAATGGCTGAAAATTCCAAAAAATTCCACCATTAAAATGGTAAATTTCAGAAAATTTAAAGAAAAATGAGCCATTTTGAGCTGAAAATCGGCTTAAAACTATCCCGAAAACGTCAAAAATGGGCTAAAATGACACATGGACGAGGTTTCTGAGCTTTCTAGGCCACCAAATCGAACATTGCCGTTTTGGCCGAGTTTCAGGTGCAACATTGGAAAAACAGCAATTTTTGACTGAAAATCGAGCCGAAAAGAGCCATTTTAGACTAAAATGGGCTATAATAAGCTGAAATGAGTCATGGCCGAGTTTTAGCGTTTCCTAGACCATCATATCATTTTTTGCGGGGATTTTTTAGTCTGAAAATGTACTGAAAACGCCCGAAAACTGGTCAAAATTTGCTCAAAATCACTGAAAATGCTGGAAAAAGTACCCGATGGCCTAGCTTTTTCTGATTTTCTAGGCCACCACGCCATTTTTAATGAAAACAGCGGTTTTTAGCGATAAAAATAGACAAAAATGACCCAAAATCTATGGAAATGAAGCTAAAATTGCTCATGGCCGAGATTTCTGATTTTCTAGGCCACCGCAGATCATTTATCGCCAGATTTTGATGGTTTCAGGCCCATTTTTGATGGATTTTTAGTGCTAAAACACTATGGGATGGATCTGGTGGCCTAGAAAACGCCGGAACTCGGCCATGGGTGGTTTCGGCTCATTCTCACCCCAAAATGACTCAATTTTGACGATTTTTTTTCTCTTTTTTCGGCTAAAGTGCCTATTAATCTAGAAATTCTCGATCGTTGACCCAAAATTGAGTGTTTTTAAGCCAAAAATGAGGAAATTTCGATGAAAATTGAACAAAAAACCAAAATGGCCTAGAAAACTCGAAAAAGTTAGGCCATGTAGTGTTTTTCAGTCATTTTTCAGGAGTTTTCCTTTAAAAATTACTCAAAGTTCGCCAGAAATGTCCTGTTGGCCTAGAAAGTCCAAAAAACTCGGCCGGTATTTTTAGCCCTTTTTAAGCTCAAAATGAGTCATTTTCAACGTATTTTAGCTGAAAAGGCTTAAAAATTGCCAAAAAAGAACCCCTGGTGGCCTAGAAAATCCAAAAACTCTGCTATTTTTTAGCTCTTTTTAAGCTCAAAATGGGCCATTTTAGCGCTAAAAAAATCGAAATCCGTTAATTATGGTCTGGTGGCCTAGAAAACCAAAAAACTCGGCCATGGGTGGTTTCGGCTCATTTTGGTGTTATTTTGGCCGATTTTCAGCTTATAAAATGGCTCATTTTCCTCGAATTTTGTAGATTTCTCCATGATTGCTCATCCCAAAAACTAGAAAATTCCAGAAACGCCTCCCCACTGGTGCATCTGCGACGTCTTCATCTGTTCTCCCGTGTCATCAACGAGACCGTCGGCGACGCCTTCGCCGATCTCCTCGCCACGGAGATTGTTCTTCGTCACTTCGGATGGTCGATGGACGACTGGAATCAGAAGCTGTATCAAGATGTTCCGAATGTCCAGATCAAGGTTCCCGTCGCGGATCGATCGATTTTCAAGACGACGAATGCGGAGCAGACGTTGGTGAAGCCAGATGGATTGCAGAAGAGAATCGATGAAGAGGTGGCCAAGTACAAGGATTCGAGAGCTTTTATTAGGTACGGGTTCTTGGAGATTTTAGGGCTGAAATTGTCGATTTTAGAGCTTAGAAATTGGCTGAAAATCGCTCTTATTTGGATGAAATTGCTCAAAAAAAAAAAATATATTTTCCTAAAATCGCTGAAAAATGCTGATATTTGAGTTTTTCAACTGAAAATCATAGGTTTTGGTGCTTTTTTGAGCTGAAAATGTCAATTTTTGAGCATTTTGAGCTTAGGAATTTTCTGGCTGAAAATGGTGAAAATCGAGATTTTTATGAGAAAAAAATCTGAAAATTTCATATTTTTTACTCTCTCTCTCTTGTCTGAAAATCACTGAATTTTCATTTTTTGACTGTAAATCATAGGCTTTGGAGCTGAAATTGTCGGTTTTAGAGCTTTTTAAGCCTAGAAATCCGCTGAAAATGGATCCTACTTGGCTGAAATTTCTCAAAAAATGATTTTTCTGACTAAAACTGAAAATCATAGGTTTTGGAGCTTTTTGGAGCTGAAATTGTCAATTTAGGAGCTTTTGAGCTTAGAAATAGGCTGAAAATGGTGAAAATCGAGAATTTTACGAGAAAAAATTGAAATTTTCATATTTTTCACTCTTTTTTGACTGAAAATCATAGGCTTTGGAGCTGAAATTGTCGATTTTAGAGCTTTTTAAGCCTAGAAATCGGCCGAAAATCGCTCTTTTTTGGCTGAAAATCGCATTCTTTGAACGGAAAATGTCTTAAAACGGCTGAAATTCGAGAGTTTTCCAAAAAAATTGAAGGAATTCTAGTTTTTTTTGTCTGAAAATCGCTGAAATTACAGCCATAAATAGGATTTGAAGCTTTTTGTAGCAGAAATTGTCAATTTTAGAGCATTTTGGGCTGAAAATCAAGATTTTATCAAAATAAACTTTGAGAATTGCAGATTTTTCACATTTTTGGCTGGAAATGCTATTTTTAGGCTAAAATTGCTTTTTAATCAGCTCTAATATGCGGATTTTTCGACTGAAAATCACTTGAAAATGTCCGAAATGTCTGAAATTTTTGAAAAAAAAAGTTCGACTGAAACTTGCTGAAAATCAAGGTTTTGGGCCTTTTTTGAGCTGAAACTGTCGATTTTCGAGCTTTTTAAGCTCAGAAATAGTCTGAAAATCGCTCTTTACTCGGCTTAAAATCGATTAATTCGGGCTGAAAATGTGTTAAAATAGCTGAAATTCATCTTTTTGTCTGAAAATCGCTGAAAAATAGCAGGAGAGGTATTTTTGGCTTAGAAATTGGCTGAAAATCGGTCTAATTTCGCTGAAATTGCTCAAAAAATGCGATTTTTCTAACTAAAATTACAGAAAATTGTTTCCGAGATTTTACCCGAAAACAAGGGGGATTTTCAGTCTAAAAACCTTGATTTCCAGCCCATTTTGAACCCTCAAAAACTCAAATTCTGAAATATCTGAAAATGAGCAATTTTTCAGATTTTTTAGCTGAAAAAGGCTTGATAACCGAATTTTTCCGAAAAAATAGCTGAAAATTCGGTCGAAAAAATCTTCAATTTTCAGCTATTTCTAGGCATTTTCAGCCAAAAAAGGTGAATTTTTGAGCGATTTTTGGCTGAAAATGAGTCTGAAAACGCTATTTTTGACTGAAAAATACACCGAAAATTGGGGTTTTTTTTCCAAAATTTCAAAAATTTTTGGCTGAAAATGAGTCTGAAAATCGATTTTTTAAAAATTGAAAAATTGGAATTTTTGGCTGAGAATTCAAAATTTCAGTCTGAAATTGCTGAAAATAGCAAATTTTCCAATTTTTTGGCTGAAAATCCATCGATTTTTCAGTTTTTTTTTTTGGCTGAAAATGCCTGAAAATCCAATTTTTCAAATAGCAAAAAATTCAGAAAACGGTCGAAATTAAGAAATTCAAGTCTGAAAAGTGCTGAAAAAATTCGAAAAAAAGAGCAATTTTTAAAGATTTTTTCGGCTGAAAATGAGTCCGAAAATCTAAATTTCTGAGAAAATTGACAAAGTGAGGATTTCAAGTCTAGAAATGCTGAAAAGCAAAAAAAAAATTTTTTTTTGGCTAAAAATGAGTCTTGAAAACGCTATTTTTGGCTGAAAAATACCCCAAAAATAGGTATTTTTTCCAAAATTTCCATCGATTTTTCATATTTTTGGCTGAAAATGTCTGGAAATTGCTGAAATTTTCAGATTTTCAGAAAAATTTTGATTTTTTCAGCTTAAAAGTCAAAAAAATCCTATTTTCAGACCATCGGGAACGGAGAACATTGTGCGTGTCTACGCCGAAGCCGACACTCTGGAGAACACTCATCGTCTTGGAAAATCGCTGGAACAAGTCGTCCTCAGCATTGGTTCTGCTTAGAAAATCGCTTTAACTTTCAGCCTTTCGCACATTTTGGTCCCACTTCTCACCCGATTTTTCCCTCATTTTCTGGTGATTCTCGCTGAAATTTACAGTCATTTTTCCCCCCTAAAATTGCACTTTCTGGTCCCATTTTGACTGGTTTTTCCCCCATTTTCTGGTCATTTTTTATGTAAATTTCCCCCTGGTTTTCATATTCAATTCATATGTTAATGCCTTTTTTTTATTGTGATCCTTTAAATGTTTTTTGGGTTATTTTGAGTAGAAAATTTGGCTGAAATTCGAGAGTTTTTGGCGATTTTTGGCTGAAAAATTCGGAATTTTCAGCATTTTTTTTAATGGAAAATGGTCATTTTCGGTCTTAAAATCCGAAATTTAGCTGAAATCCTGCACATTTCCAGCATTTTTGAAATTCTTAGCTCTAATTTCTGACCATTTTCAGCCTAAAAAGTAGAAAATTCGCTTAAAATCTTCATTCTTGCACAAAAATGGCTGAAATTCTGCTCATTTTCAGCATTTTCTGGAATTTTCAGCCATTTTTTCCTTCCATTCCTTCCAAAATTCCGGATATTTTTCCGCTTAAAACGACTAAAATCATGATTTTTAGTGGAAAAAAGTGGGCGGGGCTTGTGAGGAATGACACGCCCACTTTGCTTTATTTTTCAAATTTTGATTTTTCGAAGTTGAAAAAGTGGGCGTGGCTTATTCCTTGAGGTTTTTCGGGTCATTTTTGCCCATTTTTAATCAATTTTAAGCCATTTTTTGCTTTAAAAATCGATATTTATATGTGATTTTGATGATTCTTTTCCTCTGTGATGAATTTTGTGTATTTTCTCCAAATTTCATTGATTTTTTTTTGTTGTTTCCAGTAGAAAAAGTAGAAATTCTCACTTTTTTCGTATATTTTTCCCATATTTTCAGCCAACTTTTCAGCTAATTTCAGCTAATTTTCAGCCAAAAATGACTTCAGAAGATGAGTCAGATGATCAGAATCCGATTTTGGCACGTCATCGGAAGGAGAAAAAGGAGTTGAGAGGTAGAAATCGATGGATCTTCAGATATTTTAAGCCAAAAAATCAATGAAATTGCTCATTTTCAGCCAAAAACAGCTCTGAAATTCACCTTTTTTTTGGCTGAAAATGTCTTAAAATCGCTGAAATTCCAGATTTTTTGAATTTTCAGCTAAAAATTTGGCTGAAAAAATCCAAATTTCTGAAAATCTGAAAAGTTTTAGCCAAAAAACTCAAAAAAATCTGAAAATTTTTTGCAATTTCCAAACATTTTCAGCCAAAAATCGCTCAAAAATTCACCTTTTTTGGCTGAAAATGCCTAGAAATAGCTGAAAATTGAAGATTTTTTCGACAGAATTTTTCGTTATTTTTTCAGAAAAAAATTGGTTATCAAGCCATTTTCAGCTAAAAAATCTGAAAAATTGCTCATTTTCAGATATTTCAGAATTTGAGTTTTTGAGGGTTCAAAATGGGCTGGAAATCAAGGTTTTTAGACTGAAAATCCCCCTTTTTTTTGGGGTAAAATCTCGGAAAATGCATGCTCTCCTGCTATTTTTCGGCGATTTTCAGACAAAAAGATGAATTTCAGCTATTTTAACACATTTTCAGCCCGAATTAATCGATTTTAAGCCGAGTAAAGAGCGATTTTCAGACTATTTTTGAGCTTAAAAAGCTCGAAAATCGACAGTTTCAGCTCAAAAAAGGCCCAAAACCAAATTCAAAAAATCTGAATTTTTCAAATTATTTTTTCGAAAAATTTAGAATTTCAGCGATTTTAAGACATTTTCAGCCAAAAAAAAGCTGAACTTTAGAGCTATTTTTACTGAAAATGTTTAGAAATAGCAGAAATTTTCAGATTTTTCGACTTTTTGGCTGAAATTTTTTTCAATTTTCAGCCAAAATTTCAGCTAAAAACTCGAAAAAATCTGAAAATTTCAGCAATTTCCAGACATTTTTAGTCAAAAATATGAAAAATCGATGGAAATTTTAAAAAAATACCTATTTTTGGGGTATTTTTCAGCCAAAATAGCGTTTTCAAGACTCATTTTCAGCCAAAAAAATTTTTTTTTTGCTTTTCAGCATTTCTAGACTTGAAATCCTCACTTTGTCAATTTTCTCAGAAATTTAGATTTTCGGACTCATTTTCAGCCGAAAAAAAAAACTGAAAAATCGATGGATTTTCAGCCAAAAAATTGGAAAATTTGCTATTTTCAGTAATTTCAGACTGAAATTTTGAATTTTCAGCCAAAAATTCCAATTTTTCCATTTTTAAAAAATCGATTTTCAGACTCATTTTCAGCCAAAAATTTTTTGAAAAACCCCCCAATTTTCGGTATATCTGAAAATTGTTAATTTTCACCAATTTCAGACAAAAATTTTCAATTTTCAGACAAAAATTTTTTTTTCCGAGTTTTTTTTTTTTTGATTTCCAGCATTTTCTAGACTTGAATTTCCTAATTTTGACCATTTTTTGCATTTTTGATCTCTAGAAAATTAGATTTTCAGCATTTTCACCCAAAAAAGTCTGAAAATCAGCCAAAAAATTCCAAAAATCTGAAATTTTGAGCTTTTTTTTTTTGAAAAAATCTAGAATTTCAGCCATTTTAAGACGTTTTCAGCGATTTTTTCAGCCAAAAAAAATTTTTTTTTTGCATTTTTCAGCATTTCTAGACCTGAATTTCTTACTTTTTGACCTATTTTTGATCTCCAAAAAATTTAAAAAGCTCAAATTTTTGGATTTTTTTTGCATTTTTTTGGATTTTTCAGTCATTTTTCCCTCATTTTTGCCCAATTTCCCCTCTAAAAGTCTCATTTTTTCTAGAAATTTCGACATTTTTCGCCCAAAAAAATGTCGTCATCCTCCCCGTCATTCGACAGTATTTCGGATATTCCATCTAACGCTGAGCAAGCTCCGCCCCCCGCCACTTCTACTACTAGAAAATTGTCGAAAAAGCGGCAAAAAAGTCAGGACGAATCACCGAAAACGGGATTTTTGTGTGGTGTTGGTGGCTATTCGTTGTGTTCCAGTCGACAAAATTGTGAGGATTTTGGCTGAAAATTGCTGAAAATTTGGCTGAAAATCGATTTTTTTTTTGAAAATTTTTGAAAAAAAATTTTTTTTTTCGGCTGAAAAAATCGCTGAAAATGACTCAAAATAGCTGAAATTCTAGATTTTTTTTTCAAAAAAAAATCTGGAAATTTCAGATTTTTTGCCTTTTTTTTGGCTGAAAATGTCTACAAATCGCTGAAATTCTGAATTTTCAGCCAAAAAATCGAAAATTTTTTTGGATGAAAATGACTGTGAAATGGCTTTTCTTTCTGGTAAAATAGCTGGAATTTGGCTGAAAAGTCGAAAAAATCTAAAAATTTCAGCTATTTTCAGACATTTTCAGCCAAAAATAGTTCTAAAATTCAACTTTTTTTTTTGGCTGAAAGCGTCTAGAAATAGCTGAAAATCCGGATTTCTTGAATTTTCAGCTGAAAATTTGGCTGAAAATGAAAAAAATCAGAAAATTTCAGCAATTTCTAGACATTTTCAGCCAAAAATAGTTCTAAAATTCAACTTTTTTTTTTGGCTGAAACTGTCTAGAAATAGCTGAAAATTTGGCTGAAAAAAATCCTAAATTTCCAGGTCTTTTGGCTGATAGTCGGAAAAAAAATCCTAAATTTCAGCTATGTTTTTCGACTTAAAATGTCTTAAAATCGCTGAAAATCCAGATTTTTCGAAAAAAAAAAATCTGGAACTTTCAGATTTTTTTCACTTTTCATGGCTGAAAATGACTATAAAAATGGCTTAAAACCGAATTTTTCTAGAATAATAACTGGAATATTGGTTGAAAAGTCGAAAAAAAATCTGTCAATTTCAGCTATTTTCAGACATTTTCAGCCAGAAATAGCTCTAAAATTCAACTTTTTTTGGCTGAAAATGTCTAGAAGTAGCTGAAATTTTCAGATTTTTCGAATTTTTATCTGAAACTGTCCCAATTTTCAGCGAAAATGACGGCAATGAAGAAGGCGGCGAAGTCGGGCAACAAGCAGAAGCAAAAGGAGACGAACGCCGAGGTATACTGTAGTTTTTGCAGTCTTTTTGACTGAAAATACTCATTTTGCAGTGCGAAAAAATGGAAAAAGAGCAAGAGGAGCGCCACAAGCAAGAGCTCGCTGCTGAGCAAGCTCCGCCCACTGACCAAGAAGCTGCGCCCCCTCCAGCAGCAGCAGCCGAAGCTCCGCCCATCGTTCATGAAGAAGAAGAAGGCGCCGAAGAAGAAGAGGACGGTGAAGAAGGGGGCGTGGCAAACAAATTCTACAAAACGCTGCACATTTCGTCGAAGAATGCCAAGAAACAGGCGAAAAAGAAGGAGCAGGCCGAGAAGATGAAGGCGGCACAGGCGGCGGATAAGGAGAAGGCCAAGAATAAGGATTCGGAGAGGCATCAGGAGAAGGCCACCATTAAATCGGTAATTATCTGAATATTTGAAGGAAAATGAGCCATTTTGAACTGAAAATTGGCGTAAAACGACCACGAAAACGGTATAAAACAGGCTAAAATGACCCATGGCCGAGTTTAGGGGGTTTTCTAGGCCACGAGAGGGTTTTAGCACTAAAAATCGTCAAAAATGACCCAAAATGCCTCCTGGCCGAGTTTTGATTTTCTAGGCCACCAGATCATTCCTAGTAGGGTTTGACGGTTTTAGCACTGAAAATCATCAAAAATGACCCATTTTGAGCTTAAAAAGGGCTAAAAATACCCATGGCGTAAATATCTGAAAATTTGAACGGAAATGAGCCATTTTGAGCTGAAATTTGGCGTAAAACGACCCCGAAAACGTTGCAAATTGGCTAAAATGACCCATGGCCGAGTTTAGGGGGTTTTCTAGGCCCCCAGGCGGCTATTTTTGTGAAAATGTATCATTTAGCGATGAAAATCGTCAAAAATGATCTATTTCTAGCTGAAAATTGGATAAAAATGACCCAAAATGACTGCTGGCCGTGGTTTTAGGTTTTCTAGGCCACCAGACCTTTTTGAGATTTTTTGGCCCAAAAAAATGGTGAAAATTAATAAAAATAACTCAAAAATCAGCAGAAACACTGAAATTTAAGTTTTCTAGCAGAATTTTCGCAAAGTTCATAAGTAATATGAGCCAAATTTGAGAAATTGAAGAAAAATCAGCCATTCTAGGCTGAAAATGGGCTAGAAATAGGCAAAAATGACCCATGGCCGAGTTTTGGGGGGGGGGGGGGGTTTTCTAGGCCACCAAATCATAATTACCGGATTTCGAGGTCTTTAGCGCTAATATGGCCAAAATGAATGAGCCATTTTGAGCTTAAAAAGGGCTAAAAATAAGCTTAAAAATTGCCATGGCCGAGTTTCCTGATTTCCTGGGCCACCAGGACGTTTTTGGCGAAATGTGAGTCATTTTTATCGAAAAATTCCAGAAAAGTGACTTAAAATCGGCTGAAAATCAGTCAAAATGACCCATGGCCGAGTTTAGGGGGTTTTCTAGGCCATCAGGTCCGTTCTGATGACATTTGAGTTTTTTAGCGCTGAAAATTGTCAAAGATGAGCAATTTCTAGCTGAAAACGGATTAAAAATGAGCTAGAAATACTCGTGGCCGACTTTCAGGGGTTTCTAGGCCACCAGGCCATTTCTTGAGTTTGGTGGCCTAGAAAACGCACAGAAGTTCGGCCATTTGATGTTTATGCCTCTATTTCTCGATTTTTGACACTTTTCATAGCTTTATTGAATAAAAATAGCGATAAAAAACCTCTGAAAATCCGCCTAAAACTCCGTATGGCCGAGTTTTTTGGTTTTCTAGGCCACCAGCTTGAATTTCGGGGTTTCCAGTAGAATTTCCGGGTGTTTTTCGTCTGGAAATCGGGTCAAATTTGGAAAAGTAGAGGGAAATGAGCCTTTTCTTGCTAAAAATGGGTTGAAAATGGCCTAGAATTCCCCCGTGGCCGAGTTTTTTGAGTTTTCTAGGCCACCAATATCTTCATTTCAGCTCCTGACCAAAGACCACCTGCGAATGATTGAGATTTCTGCGGATGGCGATTGTATGTACAATTCGTTGGTCCATCAATTACAGGAGGAAGGTATTGAGGTAATTATATGATGAGCAATCTGAAATTTGGCTGAAAATCTGGAAAATCTGAAATTTCAGCCAAAATTTTCGAAAAATGCCGAATTTTACACACATTTTTGAGTCATTTTCAGCGCCAATTCCAGCGATTTTAACATGTTTTTAAGCGTCGGGATTGTCTGAAAATGACTGAAAAGCCGATTTTCAGCCAAAATCTATTCCATTTTTGTAGTTTTTTAACGATTTTCAGCCGATTTTCAGCCAAAAAACACCTATTTTAGTGTATATGAAGCGTCCAAAAAGTCTGAAAAATCGTCTGAAAATCTTTAAAATCGAAATTTTGATCAATTTGGAAGTCTTTTGGTCATTTTTGAACGGTTTTCAGCGGATTTTCAGCCACAAAATCGCATTTTTAAACGATTTTTATCTATTTTCAGCAAAAATTTCCAGTTTTCTGAGTCATTTTCAGCTAATTTTGAGCGTCCGAAATGTCTGAAAATGACTGAAATTCGTCTTAAAATTGAAATTTTGATCGATTTTAACCAATTTTTGTCATTTTTGAACGATTTTCAGCTAATTTTCACCCAATTTTTCACCAAAAAAACACCTATTTTAGCAGATTTAAGCGTCTAAAAAGTCTGAAAAATCGTCTGAAAATCGTCTGAAAATCGTCTGAAATTTTGAAAAATCGTATTTTGACCAATTTTTGTCATTTTTGAACTTTTTTCAGCCAATTCCAATCAGAAATCTCTGATTTTGAGCTAAATTTCCAGGTGGTTCTGAGTCATTTTCAGCTAATTTTGAGATGCTGAAAGCCTGAAAATTGCCTGGAAATCGTATTTTTGTCATTTTTCAACGATTTTCAGCTAATTTTCACCTACTTTTTCACCAAAAAACACCTACTAGCGTTCTGAAATTCTGAAAAATGATTGAAAATCATCTGAAAATTTGAAAAAAATCGAAAATTTGATAAAAAAATTTTTTTCGAGTTTTTAAAAATATTTTTTGATCAAACAGACAAACAATCCAAAAAGCACAAAAAAATATAGAAATTTGTATTGAGAGCTCAAAATTCGGTTCAAAATGACAAAATTTTTGCTATCGGGCCTTCCGGGCCGGGCCCGGGCCTTGAAATTTTCCTCAGGCCCGGTTCGGCCCTGGCCCGGGCTTGGGCCGGGCCGGGCTGAAATTTTACAAATATGTTTTTCGGCCAATTTCCCCTATTTTCAGCCAAAAACCCCCTCATTTTTGCAGATCTCGGTGCGAAAACTGCGCAAAGCGTGTGGCCAATACATGCGTGAGCACAAAGCGTACTTCGCCTCGTTCATCGCCGACACGGACGTCGACAATTCGGCGCAGAAGACGAGCGACGAGAAGTGGGAGAAGTATTTGGAGGGCGTGGAGAAACCAGCGGATCAGGGAGGCGTTTGGGGTGGAGAGCTCGAGTTGACAGCCATTTCACAGCACTATAAGAAGGTTATTCTGGTGAGTTCGGGGGCTGAAAATGGCCCGAAATGGCTTTAAAATGACCCTAAAATCGTTGAAAATGAGTGAAAATGATCCAGAAATGTAAGCCACGCCCATTGAAAATAGCTGAAAAATTTGAGTAATTTTCTGGCTGAAAATTGCTGAGAATCCACTCAAAATGAACCCAAAAACGTGAAAATTGGCTGAAAATGGGCTGAAATGACCCGTGGCCGAGTTTTTCGAGTTTTCTAGTCCACCAGACCATTTTTAGTGGATTCCAAGGTTTTCCAGCGCTAAAAATGGTAAAAATGAGCCATTTCTTGCTTTTTTTTGGGGTTTTGGAGGGCTGAAAATGGCTGAAAATCGCCTAAAAATGATGGAAAATAAGCCAAGTCACGCCCACTTTTCCCATAAAAATCTGAATTTTTGAATTTTCGAAAAAAAAATTGGAATTTGGAATTTCTTGGAAATCTGCAAACTTGAGTGGTTTTCTGGCTGAAAATGGCTGGAAATAGCTCTAAAACGACTCCAAAAACGTTAAAATTGGATAAAAATGACCCAAAATGGTTGCGTGACCGAGTTTCGTGGATTTCTAGGCCACCAGACCATGAATACCGGATTTCGAGGTTTATCAGCGCTAAAAATGATAAAAATGAACTATTTTTCTCGCTTAAAAAAGGGCTAAAATGGCCTGGAAACCGTCAAAATCAAGCAAAAATTACCCGTGGCCTAACTTTTGGGTTTTCTAGGCCACTAGGTCATTTTTCGTTCAATTTTCATCGAAATTTCGGAATTTTTGGCTTAAAAATGGTTATTTTGGCTCAAGTTTCCGGTTTTCGCGCTGATTTCACCTGAAAAATGGTTGAAAATGAGCCAGATCATAAGCCACGCCCCTTTTTTTTTTAATTTGAAAAATGAAATTTTTGAAATTCGAAAAAAATTTGATTTTTAGAAATTTCCTAAATTTTGGAATTCCTGGAAAATCTGCAAAAAAAGCTTCAAATTTCAAATTTCCCTCCAATCCACGCCCATTTTTCTGAGTTGCTTACCAAAGTGGGCGTGGCTTACGGTTCCTAAAGCTCCGCCCACTTTTCTGGGTTGGATGTTTTGGAAGCATTCTGTGTATCTGAATGTCCGGATGTCCGAAATGTTCTCTAAAAATCGAAAAAACCTGGATTTTCAGACTGAAAAATTCTATTTTTTGCAGGTCTACCGTGCCGAGGGACCACACAAGATTGGCGAGGAATTCGAGTCGGCCGAGGATCGTCCGCTTCGAATTGTCTACCTTCGTTTGGCCTATACTCTCGGAGAACACTATAATTCCACTGAACTCGATTAGACACTCTATGATATATATTTTTGAATTTTCTGATTTCCCGCGCGATTTTATGCTGAAAATGACTGGAAAAATTGAGCTTTTCGGGGTTGAATTGACCTAGAAATTTTTTTTTTTTGCCAATTTTTGACCCTAAAATTGTCCCTGTGTTAATTAGCCTAATTATTTGTTAATTACCGTACCCCCCCCCCCCATGAAAATTTCGGTTATTATCTATTTTTTTGTATTTTTTGGAATAAATGATTTTGGATTAAAAAATGTGGAAATTCTGAAATTTTAGCAATTTTCAGAGCTTCAAAAAATGTGGAAAATTGGCTTACAGTACCCCTTTTGAGAAGGTACAGTAGTCCCCGATGTGTTACAGTAACCCATTAGCATCATCTAGACATCCATAATCTACAATAACCCGAGCTACAGCAGCTGGGATACTGTAGCCCTTGGGTCCTTCAGTAATTCTTGTTTTACAGTAACCTGAGCTACTAACATTCTAAAATTCAGAAACTACCAGATTACTGTAGCCCGATTACTGTAGATAATTAAACGATTATTGCAGATTGGATTACTGTACCTTCGAAGGAGGATTACTGTAGAGAAACATCTAGAGGTCAACTGATAAATTTCAAAAAAAAAATAAACAGTAAAACCTGTAATAGAAGGGCCCCCTAACTTTGAGCCAATTTATCTCGGTTACTGTAGACGATATCAAAAATCTGTCAACTAATAAAATGTTTATCATAATATCAGCAACATTTTATCAGTTGACCATATTTAGGTATCTCTTACAGTAACCGAGATAATTGAGCTCAAAGTGCATGTATTCTTGTTTCATTTTTGAAGCCTTTCCATTACAGGTTTCATTGTTTGATGGTACAGTAATCCAAACCTACAGTAATCTTTAAATGAATTCTAAAATTCTAAAATTCTAAACTTCTAAGATTCTGAAATTCTAAAATTCTGAAATTCTAAAATTCTAAAATTCTGAAATTCTAAAATTCTGAAATTCTAAAATTCTAAAATTTTAAAATTCTAAAATTCTGAAATTCTAAAATTCTAAAATTTTAAAATTCTAAAATTCTGAAAATTCTAAAATTCTAAAATTCTAAAATTCTGAAAATTCTGAAAATTCTAAAATTTTAAAATTCTAAAATTCTGAAAATTCTAAAATTCTAAAATTCTAAAATTCTGAAAATTCTGAAAATTCTAAAATTTTAAAATTCTAAAATTCTGAAAATTCTAAAATTCTAAAATTCTAAAATTCTAAAATTCTAAAATTCTGAAAATTCTGAAAATTCTAAAATTCTAAAATTCTGAAAATTCTAAAATTCTAAAATTCTAAAATTCTAAAATTCTGAAAATTCTGAAAATTCTAAAATTCTAAAATTCTAAATTCTAAAATTCTGAAAATTCTGAAAATTCTAAAATTCTAAAATTCCTGAAATTCTAAAATTCTAAAATTCTAAAATTTTCTGAAAAATGTGTATAGAATTACTGTAGGTTTGGATTACTGTACCATCAAACAATGAAACCTGTAATGGAAAGGCTTCAAAAATGAAACAAGAATACATGCACTTTGAGCTCAATTATCTCGGTTACTGTAAGAGGTATCAAAATATGGTCAACTGATAAAATGTTGCTGATATTATGATAAACATTTTATTAGTTGACAGATTTTT